CCACAATTTTATGCCGCAAATAATAGACTATAATTTAAGAAATATTTAAATTACATTATATTTAATATCTATTTTGATTACATTTCTTCTGAATAATAATTTTTATAATAAAATACTTTGAATAAGACATAACGCAAAACAATAAATAATATCCGTTGGAAAATTACGATAACAATAATATTGCTATTTTTGTGGTAAATATTTTTTGCCAAATTATAGTTTTCTACCAAATTTAGTCAATACATATCGCTTGACAACACTCTGACTCTTGTAATCAATTTTCAACGAATTCAATATAAAGGACACGATATCAGTGTATTCTTCGATCTGGTTTTGGCAAATAAAACAACAAATACATGAGAAATACAAATATAAAACACATGATGTTTTACAGACCCATTTAGAGATGGGTTTTCCAGCGCCGTGACCAGAATTGGTGTCGATTCTTATCATAAGGGGAGTGTCGGCCAGTTTGGACCCCAATTCATACTGTAATTGTGCCGCATATTTGTATGAGTGCGCGGGCACTACCCGGTCGTCGTGATCCGCTGTTTACCATCATTGATGACATAACTATTAAATTGCTATTTAATTAATACAATGATTAGCGAAATACCTGTCAATACAAGCATCGCTGGGTATTGAGTGGCGGCCTGTGGTATGGCATGCAATGGAGAGTATCTATTATTGAATAGAAAAGAAAATATTTCTCAACATTTTTGTTGTTTCCGTTAATAAAGTGTTGCTAATGAACATTTACATAAGTTTTACGAGAAACAATAGAACTCCTGATGGTATAAGGAGAAAGGTGCGGGTCGGATATCACTTGTTACCCTTGGCTTCGTATAGGTAGTGTGATATTACTTGTGTACTACACAATTAGATGATAATACTTTTATATACCACTATAGTTAACGTATATTTAATGATATATCTATTGTGTTGTAAAAGATCTATGACTTTTGAATAGTATTTGTTTCGGTAGAAGTCTTTTTTGCTATAAAAATTTTTATATATTTAAAATTTTGTTTACCGGTCATTTACACTTACACTGTTCGTGATGTTACCATGGTTATAAAAATTATTGATATGTTAAGATTAAATTTTAATATAAACTGACCCGACATTAGCCAACGAACAGCCGATGATATCTGGTCTCTGGTTACTGACGGCACCCACTAATAGACCGCCGTTTGAACGACCATTGATTGTAAGTCTATTCAAAAGTATTGATTACTTAAATGATGTGATGATATGTGTGGCCATTAATTACCGGTCTCTTCGCGTATATTTCTTATTAATCAAATACTCGGCCGCAGAGGCGAAGTCGTCGAAAACATTTTGCTTATTCAATAGCATCCCTCCCTCGTGCCAACTTTCACCATATTCACTATCAGTATTTATAAAGCGTTAATTATAATTTATAAAAGGTGATGATGTAAATATTTAGTATATTGCAAATTAGTATGTGATAGCGCATACCCGCCGCCTCTGATATTGGCCACCGCGTAGATACCATTTAAGTGTTTAATGAAAAAAGTGCCCAACGGATCAAATCCTGGCTGAATATTGATGTTGAAGCCTCCATAAGCGTACAATAGGGTGGGATTAGAGCCATCGAGTTTGATATTCTGGTTAATCATAATAAATACTGAAAAATGATGAACATATACAGTACGTGTGTAGAGTCCACACTGTAGATCACACATACCTTCCTGTGGACCAAAAACATGGGAACTTTCACTTTGCCGTCTTTGCTCGCATAGAAGACCTGATTGGTCTCGAATTCACTCGTATCCAAACCCGCGATCACCGATGACTTGAACACCTATTTGTATAAATTATGTCTCAATTAAACAATTTGGTTGAAAATAATGACAGAAAACTTTTTCATACGCTAATAGTGTTGGGATTAGTGTTGAAATCGTATCGATATATAATCCCGGGATTGAGAAACGATGTCATTTTGTAGAATAATTCTTTGCCGTCTCGATCACCACTGAGACCACCAACTGTGCCGATGGGAGTGTCGATATCCCACAGATATCTGCCATCATTGAGATTATGTATTTCAATGATCTGCACGACATCTCTCATGTATACGACGGCCAGATAGTCATTAGCGACGGCCACCGCGTCATTCAATACACTGATGGCGTGTTCGGGGACTATGTTTTCCCAATTGGCCTAAAAATGTGCCCAACATTTAGATTAAATAATGTGGATGTGTTATTACCTCATCCGGTTTATCGAGATCCACTCTAACCACACGGAATTTAAGGGCATTCTTGTTGGTTCGCAAGTAAACCAAGTTGTCATCGCTGGTCACGTAATAGTACTCGCCGTCCGATTTGTCTTTGACGGCAGTGAAGGTCAGCTCTGCGGCGACCGGAGTGACCAGTTTTGCGTAATACCAGGCGCTGGTCGACGTGCCCTCCTGTGGGAAGATATGCACGTATTTCCCGTCATCGCTCACTACTGGTGTTCCTCTGAAAAGACAATTAATTTTTTGTTTTTTAGATGATAAACAATTTGTTAAGTTTTTAAATTTTTTTTGTTACTTACATTAGCCAATCGGGTTTATCTACAAATTTAGTGATCATGATGTCCGCGGTCTGCAGTGTTCCCACTTTATGGTAGAATAGTTTCTGATTCTTTGGCGGTTCCGGATCAGTTCCCTCACCCGTCCCGTCGTACTCGTCGTATTGCTTTAGTACGGAATCAAGTGATGGATTAGTTTTGTAGTAAATATAGTGAATATAAAAATTGTTTGTTTACCGCATAAAAGAAGCCCAGATTGTCGTGAGTCCAAGAAGTGGACGAGAATTTGATTTTTTTCAATTCATCCGTCAAATCGACCAATGTTTCCGTGTCTTTGATTTTAATAGTGATCCAATCGGAGCCGCCTTTACTGATACCATAGGCGCAGTATTTGCCGTCTTTGGAGAATGAGGTGAACTGAAGAGATGTCGTCCCATCACTGCTCAACAGATTCGGGTCTAAGAATAGTTTGGGCTCTTCTACCGATTGCAACGATTCCGTCGAGTAAATGATATTCTGGTTTTGAAGACCAGAATTAGCCGAATAGTAATATTTGGTACCCTTTTTGGACGGAATGCCATATTTGGGATAATTATAGAGATCTTCGAAACTTATATTTGAAATACAAATTATATTTTTATGATTTAATAGATAAATATTAATAATTTTATTTATGACTTAAATTACTTTTTGGTGATTTCTTTTCGGTATGGATTGGTCTCAACGTATGGTTTAGTGACAGCGTTTTGATCGGTAACAAACTTTTTGGTTTCATCGGTGTCCGGAAATTCTAACCACTGGTACGGATCTTTCACCTAATTATAGATTATAATAATTATTTTAATTAAATATTTTAATTTATAATTTAATTAATTTTTATAACAATTAAAAATTTGTATAAATGCTTACAGTTGTGCCGAAATAGTCTTTAGAAAAGCTATCGTCTCTTTTGACCGCTGGGTATTGAAATGCACCAAATATTTGGCGCATATTTAATGTCATTATAAATATGACAAACAATTTATAATCCATTATTTACGATATTATGGATACAATTTGCGATTTCGCAAATAAAACTTAAATATATAAATAGTTATAAAATAGTTAACAAAAATAAAATAAACTCAATTAAAAATCATGAAAAACCTAATTTGAAACTAATTTTTCATAAAAACTATACTTTTTTCGCATAAATATCCAACGAATGGATACATAAAGTGATATAAATTTATAAATAAGGAGAGAAAAAAGTTTTATTTCTCAAATTTTGATGGTATTTAAGGGCGAAATAAAATCCTATTTTTATTTTTGGTGAGATTTCATTCGCTGTTCAAAACCCAAGAGATAATTGTAATAATAAATCGTTTGAAAAATAGGGATCAAACGTAAGAAGTTTGCACACAAAATATTATACTGGCGTTTATGGCATCAGATATGGGTTTATCATATCTACTATACAATTGCCATCTCTAATGGTCTCATCATAAAAACGCAAATAATAATACCATAAGAATAATAATACTATGTAATCATATTTTTAATAAATTTTAAACTTATTTTTATAACGATTATTATATCGAAATAAAGGAAAAGAGTGAATGAATACATAACTACACATAAGGCAATATTGTACACAATTGTGTACACAATTCATATGAAAATAACAGATATTTTATAAAAAAAATTATTACTATTATTATTGTTTTGTTTTATTGATAACTTTTGATTATGATCTGTGAACTAAATACCCGATACAATACGAAAGAGCGTATGAATAACAGAAAAACTTCTGCCTTTTGGGTCAATATTTGTGAATTTTTGTTATATTATATGTTATTTGATTTTATATATCATTTTATTTTTTGTAAAATTGTAATCTAAATAACTTTTTTGTAAAAATTATATAATTTGTATGCATTTCTAAGCGTCGTCTCTCTGTTGGAATTCCTAATCAAATACTAATAGTGTGTTATATGTACTGAATATGCCTTTGACTCTCTTATGTCATACATAATTATAAGGGTTTTTTGGGAAAAAGTATTTTTTTTGCCAAAATCAAACATGTTTTGAAATTTCAAGGATAGTTTAGAAAATTAGCGGATTTTGATTTATAATTTATAAATCTTATTATGTTTTTCAACATTAATTCTCCGAATTCAGCAAAATTTAATGCTTTATTAACTCATTTAATATATTTAATATTCAGTATAATAATAATTTTATTTACATTATGCCACTTTAAAAATGCATTATCTAAATATTTTGTCATAAATATTACTTTACAAGTCAGAACAATAGGTTATAAATTTGATTTATAAAGTACCTAGATACGTACCAAGTTTTAATTTATTTAATTCATAGGATATATCATGGGATAATTATAATTAGTTTACAACAGTTATTCCCGGAATCTAAGTTTGTTGCCATTCAATGCTCTTTCATATTGTACATTATAGACAGCACTGTATGAACATAATTAAAGTGTTCATTAACTTTAAACCCCTATCTGTCCGCATAAATCACACCGAGATTAATGGCAACATCAATGGTAGGACAGGTCTGTCACAAATCCATAAACTATTTTTGAGGTGCAGTTCTTGTTATCAGAGATTTATTCCCTCCTCTCTTAGATTAACACAATTTCAATGACTGTTTGAAAATAAATTCATATGAATTTATAGTGTACTTCAAATAACTCGTTGAGTTTACAAATCAAATATTTAAATAATGATTATCTGTTTCGGGAAGTTTACACACAAACCATCGACATGTGTTCATTATAGTGTGATGGATATGCTTCGGTTCCCATTGTTCACTATAGGCTGGGCGTGGAAAGAGGAATATGGTAGTCCTCAAGATAACAAAGAGCATTTTGAATACATTTACAAGTAATCAAACACTTTTTAACGGAAACAACAAAAATGTTGAGAAATACTTTATTTTCTATTCAATAATAGATACTCTCCATTGCATGCCATACCACAGGCCGCCACTCAATACCCAGCGATGCTTGTATTGACAGGTATTTCGCTAATCATTGTATTAATTATATAGAAATTTAAACAAATTATGTCATCAATGATGGTAAACAGCGGATCACGACGACCGGGTAGTGCCCGCGCACTCATACAAATATGCGGCACAATTACAGTACGAATTGGGGGCTAAACTGGCCGACACTCCCCTTATGATAAGAATCGACACCAATTCTGGTCACGGCGCTGGAAAACCCATCTCTAAATGGGTCTGTTTTTTATCATGTTTATCATGTGTTTTACATTTATGTTTGCATTTCTCATATATTTGTTGTTTTATTTGCTAAAACCAGATCGAAGAATACACTGATATCGTGTCCTTTATATTGAATTCGTTGAAAATTGATTACAAGAGTCAGAGTGTTGTCAAGCGATATGTATTGACTAAATTTGGTAGAAAATTATAATTTGGTAAAAATATTTACTACTAAAATAGCAGTATTATTGTTATCGCAATTTTCCAACGGATATTATTTATTGTTTTGTGTTATATCTTATTCAAAGTATTTTATTATAAAAATTATTATTCAGAAGAAATGTAATCAAAATAGATATTAAATATAATGTAATTTAAATATTTCTTAAATTATAGTCTATTATTTGCGGCATAAAATTGTGGCCAATGTATGCAAAAACTTATTTATGAAAATCACTTGAAAATAAAAAACAAGTTTTCACATAATAATAGTCATTGAAATACTATTGTATTGTTGTGTTAATGCAAAAAATCACAACTGTGTAAAATAATGCTCAATAATGTAATGTACATGTTCAATTTAATCGTTTACACATAATACAGGTACCTGTATATAACTTATGGACAATTATATAATTGAAATAATTCATAATTGAAATGAAGTGTTTATGGGTTTTTCTCAATGACTATTATAAATACAATCAATACTTCATATAATTAAAACATTTGACAACTTTATAACAATTGAATTAAACCGAAGATTGATTTGTAATTAAATTAATATAATTTAATTAAACAGTAATCTTGTAATGACTTTGAGGTCGTATTTGTTGACAACATATGATAGAAATGATGGTAAAAATAATGTCANGAGAGAGAGAGAGAGAGAGAGAGAGAGAGAGAGAGAATTAAGTAGAAAATTGTAAGAATTGTTTGGGAAACAGATACAATGAATTCAAAGTGTGCGCAAAAATAGCCACTATTTGTATGGCATTAGAGTCGACGTCAGCCCCAATACAACTCCCTATCCATACGTTTAGTGTAGAAAAACTTGTTTTCAATTTTACATTTGAATCAAAAATACAGATATTTTTGAAATAAAAGTCATAAATAAATGGCAAACAGTATTATCTGATCATTAGATAACAACGCATACACTAAACCAGTGCTAACTCTACGGCCAATATATAACACATTAATAAAAAAAATATTAATAATTATAATAACATTAATAATAAAATTCTATGAAAAACACACGTATTGTGTATTTGTGTCGACACTAAACACAAGTGTTATTAATATGTGTTTATAATAACAGTAATAATTGAGACACAAATCATATCCACAGTTGTGTTCACACAAACACTGCATTCAATGATAATTAAAAATATATTTATTATTTAAACACTCATTAAGTAGTCATTGAATCGAGAGATTAATCACTAATAACAGGGAAATACATATTGTATTACATTTGCCGTCAATTCATACCAATTGTGACATTATTTTTACCATCATTTCTATCATATGTTGTCAACAAATACGACCTCAAAGTCATTACAAGATTACTGTTTAATTAAATTATATTAATTTAATTACAAATCAATAGTTTTCAATTTTACATTTGAATCAAAAATACAGATATTTTTGAAATAAAAGTCATAAATAAATGGCAAACAGTATTATCTGATCATTAGATAACAACGCATACACTAAACCAGTGCTAACTCTACGGACAATATATAACACATTAATAAAAAATATTAATTATAATAACATTAATAATAAAATTATATGAAAAACACACGTATTGTTAGTGTATTTGTGTCGACACTAAACACAAGTGTTATTAATATGTGTTTATAATAACAGTAATAATTTCTACACAAATCATATCCACAGTTGTGTTCACACAAACACTGCATTCAATGATAATTAAAAATATATTTATTATTTAAACACTCATTAAGTAGTCATTGAATCGCGATATTAATCACTAATAACAGGGAAATACATATTGTATTACATTTGCCATCAATTCATACCAATTGTGACATTATTTTTACCATCATTTCTATCATATGTTGTCAACAAATACGACCTCAAAGTCATTACAAGATTACTGTTTAATTAAATTATATTAATTTAATTACAAATCAATCTTCGGTTTAATTCATGTATTGTTTATAATGTTTGAAATCTAATTGAAGAGATCGGGTAATCATCGGTGGGATCAGTGTCTTCAGCGACCAATACTGTACTCAACATAACATCACCTGTGGATCCGATGAGTGGATTGTCGGGCAAACCTGTGGCCAAAGCGATGGCCCAATCGTTGGTCTCAGTTGTGGTGGTGTTTGTCATAATAGTCGTGGCGTTTGTGACGATCGCCGCTTCGATGCCATCGCTATCGTTAGGTCAGCCCCTCTACGACCCGAAGAGTCCACACATGCGAACTCTGGCCGACACTAACTTCACGGACAGAGTCTATAACGACGAGTCGGTCGCCCGACGCGTGCAAGTGATCCAGTTTTACAACAGTTGGTGCGGACACTGCATATCATTCGCGCCGACGTTCAAAGAGTTGGCCAAACAATTGCACGAATGGCGAGACGTGTTGACCGTCGGTGTTGTCGACTGCGCTCAAGACATGAACACAAAGCTGTGCCGAAATATGGACATCAATGTCTACCCGACGCTTAAGCTCTACTGGTTTGCGCCCAAACCTGAGGACAAAGGCGTCGAATTGATTGGTAATTGTGATCATTATTTGCCACCATTTTTATGGTTTATTAATCGGTGTCTTATTGTGTGGGAACAGCCGATGAGAGGTCGACGGATGGTCTGCAGAAAGGGATCATTAAATGGATTGTTGAGAATTGGGTTAAGGGAGTGCCTCGCGAGTGGCCGGATCTGATGCCTGTGTCGGCCCTTTCCAAAGACCTGTTCGTCAAATTGCTTCCCATCGAGAAAGGGGTTCCAGTGGTTCTCGTGGTCGAGAGCGAGAAGTCTTCCATTGGTCAACAGGTTTGCCACTAATAGTGATTTACAAATAATTAAATGATATTAATTGTTGCCATAATTCGCAGATTATTCTCGATTTGAGTGCATATCAGTCATCCGTCACTGTATTGCGAATGTTGGACACGAGTGACGCTCTTCTCAATCAAATGCTTCCGAAGAATATCAAGAGTTATAAACTGCCACTTCTGTTGACTATTGATAACACGGATTATGTGTTTAAAATATTTCAAACGTGAGATTAATTAATCGATGCATTGAATCTAGTGTTTGAACAATTGATTTAATATCTGTTACCGTTTTGTGACCATTAGGCCCGACATTCCCGATAACCGCATACGTGATGTATATGTAAAGCGAATCAAATCCAAGTTTATGTCCCAATCCCTTGTCATTGACGAACAAAACGGACACGACGTCCAACAGTTATCGCCCAACAAACAGCCCGAAGACTCATCGGTGGCCAAAATACAGAACAATCTCGAGAGTCCGGCCACTGGCCAACGGGTCTACATGTCTGACCTGAACAATGCACTCAGATATTCATTGTTTCAGGAAATAGCGCTTAAGAAGCGCCTCAACACCACACAAATCAATGCTCTAAAGAATTACTTATCGGCGCTGGAACTTCACTTTCCCTTCCAGACCAACAAAATGCTAACATTTGTCAAATACCTCAACGAATGGCTCGCGAAGAAGAGGGCCGGCGTTGAGGTGGACGTCGAGGACATGATCACCACAATGAAGATTTACGAAGAGTATTATCACTTCCCGGAGATGAAGCCGTGGAAGGGCTGCGCCGGCAGCGATCCCAAGTACAGGGGCTATCCGTGCTCTATGTGGACACTGTTTCACACGTTGACTGTCAATGAATACAAGAATACTCTGCGAACGCAAAAGTGGTCAACACTTCACTCTGTGCTCTACTCGATGAGAGATTACATCAAGAACTTCTTCGGCTGTTCGTATTGCGCGCAACACTTCCAAGAGATGGCCAAAGAGTTGGAGTCGACGCTAACCTATCCGAACAGTTCGGTGCTGTGGTTGTGGCGATCGCACAATCGGGTCAACAAACGACTCCACGGCGACGCCAGCGAAGACCCGCAGCACCAGAAACAACAGTATCCGCCCAGAGATGAGTGTCCCGAGTGTTACGACACCGGCGGGCAGTTTGTCGAGAAGAATGTCTTGGAATTCCTGTTACGCCACTATTCGGTCGATAATATTATTAAAGACGAGTCAGAGCTGAAAGAAGACAATGAGATTCAAAACAATGTCATTAATAATAAAGCCATCACTTCTGGTAAGTCTGTGTCCGGAATCACTAATAATGATAATAATAATAATAACAGAAATACTTCATTAAAAGCCAAATGGAATTATAGTCTATTAAATAATATGGACTATAGTTTGATATTATTCTTATACTTTTCATCGGCGGCTATAATACTATTGATTTGCGTTTACCTTAAGGTTATTAGAAGAAAAAGGGGGCAAAAGTATAGCTCACTTAAGTCATCGTTTGCTTAATGATTATCGCATAATGTGTTAACCAATACTGTTTGTGTAGATATGAAAAAACGGATTAATTATTTTTAAATATTTAGTTATTTATTTATTATTTTTCATTATTATTAATAATTATACAAATTTAAAGCGCTTTTTAATTGAGATTATATTTGATTAAATTTTAACGAATTTTTAAATTGTTTAAATAAATGAATTATTAACTGTTTTTAAGCAAAACAAAAGTTAATTAAAATTTTATGAAAAGAACAAAACAGATGTTTTAATTGTGTTTTTGTTTGTTATTTTTTAGAAAAACATAAAACGAGTTAATGATATTAAAACACTCGGAACTAGTGTTTCTGATAATGGATTTGAACCGCTGTTATGATTAGCTGATTGTTGAGCTGTTTATTATTCATATATAGATGTGTTGTATTTGTCTATAATTGTGATCTAAATCCACCAAAAATTGTCTCAAATCTAGTCCGAGCTCTCAGTTCTGGTTTTCACGCATTCTTTTAACTCATGTTTTTGAAAACTGTTTTTTTATTTATTACTTTTAATTAACTTTTATAAACAAACATAAACTAATTGATGAATTACCATAAGTTGTGGTGTTTGTACACTCAACCGAACAAAAACTACTCAATCCGATGAGATTTTACATGAATGTAAATTATATTGTATATTATAATTATACGACAAAATTTATTTATTTGTAAGGAAATAATTTAAAATTAAAAACAATTTATTTATTTAATTAATAATTAATTATAAAAAACAATCATTGGATCACAGATTATCACTAGAGAGTAGATCAATCACTCAAAGGTATTGTATGAAGTCTGGAGTGCGAGTCTGTCCTGTCGTCTCTTTGTGTAAGTAATGGTTTCAATGGTTAGGAAAGCAATGACCACCAAAACAGTGCTCCCGATATTTAGGTAGAGTAGTATATACGGGGCATCTGTTATGAATCGGCCCACTATTATGGGATCTATGATGGCTATGAGGGCACCCGAGACCGTGATTATACCGCAGACCATGTCTGTCATGGGTATGAATAGCTCCATATATGTGAACACACAGGGAAATACTGTGGAAAAGCCGAACCCCAACACTATTGTGCCAAAGTACACCATCACTTCGGATGTGTTGCTAAACACGTATAGTATGGCATTTCCCGACGCTATTAACACTAGATCTAAGTATAGGAAATATTTTGGCTGCACTTTGATGGCCAGGAAAATGCCAACTCCTCGACCAATCTGTCGACACAATGAATATTGAGATTAATTATACATAAATGATAGTATGATTGGTGTGTTTACGGTGTACGCGGCGGACATGGAGGACGCGATCAGATCGGATGTCTGTTTCGTGAGATTGAGTTCAGTGTTGTAGTAAAATGTGGACAAATATTCAAAGTTAATGTTTTCCATGCCTTCATAGAAGCAGAACATCACCGAACAGATGGATACCAACGATACTAAGTAACCCTTTGAGTATCGTCTGGCCGTTCGGCCCCTTTCGGGCCCCGAATGATTTTTGGCCTCTAAGTTATTGTTCAATAGTTTGACGCTTTCTGCGGAAACTATCGATGATTTTGACGACTTTCTCGATCTTTCGCCCGACGGACCGCTAATGATATTATCTATTCAGTGGAAAATCATTAAATAGAAGAGAAAATAGTAATTATATTTCATTTTTCAATGGAAAATGTAATCAAAATATTTTACAAGAAAAAAAAAGATTTTTCATTCAATATAATAGGGCTTTTATATTATGTAAAACAAATTTTTGCATTAAGATTACACCCATTAATAAATATAATGGAAAATGTAATTTAGAGGCAAAAAAATTAAATTTCTAAATGATTTGCAGAGAAGGGAGGCATGATTTACATACACAAAATCTCTTTGACAATAACACATACCTATATCTGAAAGTGGTTCATATTTTTTGATGTAATACATGATAATTATGATTATGGATGATATGGACAATAGAGCGCCGGTAATACAATAAGGTATATAGATTAGCGAGTTATTTGTCCCTGGTGAAGTATTAATATCGCTATTAAACGAATCATTAGTTAGCCTTTTTATATTGTTATTTGTGTGACTTTAATGACAATAAAAGTCACAAAATCTAATGCAAAGTCCATAGGAATACCTGTTATTAAAAATATTTGATGGCAAACCAGTGGTACCAAAACGGGACCCGGAATTCAACCCCGAATTGCGATTCTCACCCAAGAATTGAAAACTAATCAAAGGGGCCAATAGTGTGCCCAAACCGAACGTGAAGTGCAAGGCCTGCATATACGGCCCGTTGTCGTTCTCCCACATCTCAAGTATCCACGCATGACATGCCGTATCGAAACCTATTGTAATTAATGGTTACATTCATCATTAACATTTTAATTTATCATAATGCACTACATATTAAATTTTTATAAAAAACATTTTGATTAACAAAATAGTTTTCTAGGAATTAGCAAAACAAGAGTAAATTGTATGTGATTTGCATAATAAGTGGCTAACACTAGAGCGGCACAAACCTCCTTCGCCTAAACCGAAGAAAACCGATAAAACCATAAATGTTTTGAAAGACTTGAGAAGTGGTGTGAGAGCTGTGGAGATAGACATCAGCAACAGATAGAAGGATACCATTAACTGTCGGTTAAGATAGTTATGAATGAATCCGCCTTTTAATACAATTTGTAAACCAAATTAGTAAACAAAATATTAGCAAAATAATGAATTATAAACCACAAAATGCTCCAATAGTGTACCCCAATGCCATTAATGAGTTACCATAAGCCATGTTCACCTGATCACTACCCATCAGTTCCACCAGGTCCACCCACGTGGGCCCCCATATGTTATATGCCAG